AAACTAACTGCAGAACTTTTTTTCATTCATATGCCGTTAATCGCTTTGTTAGAAATAAGAACTGCTGATGGTCTGGTTTCTATGTACATTGTTTTCTGTTTCTATGTACGTAACTGTGTGTGTGTGTGTGTGTGTGTTTGTGTGTGTGTGTGTGTGCGTCTGGAACCTGCAAAGAGGAATTTCCTCCGTTCACCTCACATTGTTCGGACTAACAAGGAGTCAGAGGCAGCAGGCGGGACAGAAACAGTCCACACCCTGCAGGGCGTCTCTGAGGAACCATAAGCACTTTCAGGTCAAAAGGCCAGATCTCATGGGCTGCACACACACACACACACCACACACACACACACACACACACACACACACACACACACACACACACACACACACACACACACACACACACACACACACACACAAACCAGAAAACAAAGAATCAACAGGTCTTTTTAACATTAAATACATATATGGATTTTATGTTTCACACAGAAGCGTCTTAAAGGAATTAGAGGCGAGCTGTGTGCGCACGTCTTCATTTCTTTTGTGCAAAATCGTTCTCTCGAGTAGATTCTGGACTAAGGAATAAAAAAATTACATAAAAATGTCGGGCGAGGAAGAATTGGATGGCAGTTTTTAACTTTTATATCAATTCTACATGTGTACTGAACGGATTCAACCAAAGAGTGGAGAAATCTTTCTGTCGAGCCGAAAGGAGTATGACGCATAGGCTGTATACAAATATGGACGTAGTCTCAGTAGACCGGTCTTGAGACAAATATCGGTCTCGAGATTGCAACTCTAGTTCCATGAGCTGTGTTTTAGTGTAGGTGAATAACTGTACGCTTTCAGGTGGGATAAAAATGGTCCTTCTTTGGATGTATGATATTATCCGATATTAATGTAAATGTGTGTGCGCACATGCTTTGTGTGTGTGTGCAAGTGTGTGCGTGACTCAAAGCAAGGTGTGAGAAAGAAGCTTTAAGGTACTGCACTAAGAGAAACAACCCTGATGAGAGTCACGACCTTCACACCGGCTAGTGAGAGGCTGCAGACAGTTCAACAAGCATTTATAAGACTGTGTGTGTGTGTGTGTGTGTGTGTGTGTGTACATTACCAAGAGGAAGCAATTCTGAGTTGCTGCAAGGGGAAACTCTTGAGTTGCCATTGTTCAGCCCTTCCTGTAAAGGAGGAAAACTCTGACTTCATTACTGTCACACTTCTTTCTCTACACCTCACTTTTTCTTCTTCTTCTTCATTTTTTTTCACCTGCACCTTTTTTTAACATATTTCTGCGACACAAAGTCAAACCTTCCTTTATAGAAACTTAATATAAATTTAAAGCTCGAGAAACAATATTAAGCACAGGATTTCAATAATTCCCTTGCTCTAAACTTCTCGTTTCATCTCATGTTCATCAACACATGCTCCAATATGTTGGATAGATGAGGTTGTGTTTTGCTTCCATCTAGTGTCCAAGACATGTCAAGACTGTTTCTACTTTATTAATCCCTGAGGAGGAGTTTTGACACTCCGTCATTGAGAAACATGCTTCTCAAACACATAGAGCCAAGTTACACACAAACATGACCTGTGGACATGCACTAGCGGAGAGATGTCAGAGTGGCGGGGGAAGTGAGCTTTACTGAGCTTTACTCAGGAAGTGACCTGGCACCTCTCCAGCAACCACACCCAGTGGCAATTCTACAGTCAATTGGGGCCCTTTGCAAAAATTCATTGAGGGGCCCTCAAACCAGCGTTTATCACCACCAGTGTTCCAACGCTTAATCCTCTTCCTTTTTGTTTCTTTCTTTGGTCTTTGGTTTTCAAAACAGCAATGCATGCTTAGCAGGGTGACGAGAGTGAGTGCTGTCAGACGGGGCCCCCTTAGGGAGGTTCCTATACTGTAGTTGGAAAATTTGCATATTTTTAGCCACTGCTGTGGTGTAAAGTTTGTCAGCCCTCGAGGCCCCCCTACTAGACTTGGGCCCCAAGCAGTTGCCTGCCTTGCCTGTTGACAATCAGCACCACACCGCCCCAGGATGTTACCCAGTGACCCTCCCAGCCCAAGTCCCTTGACTGAGCTACTGTCGCCCCTGGCTCATATGCATTGAACTAAAGACATACAAATCTCTTGATGCATACAGTTTAGGACTTTGTGGTCATGCCCAAGACATTAAATAGTGAAATTTGGTTTTATTTAACCTTTACTTAACCAGGAGAGAAACTTACTTTATTTCAAAATAAAAGCACACAGCAAGTAGTAAGTACTCGCAGCTAAAGACAGTACAAACGTTAAAAATGAAAAGCCTAACAATTTTCCAACGATTTCTAACATGAGATTAAAAATGCACAAATAAAATAAAAGGGAATGAATAAAAACATTTGCATCCATATTTATTTATCTGTCCATATATTACCATGTAGGCCTACCAATAAACATTCTGTACATTATGTATGTTGACGTCATGTCAGATTTAAATAAAGTTTTTTCAAGAATGACACGCGCACAGCTGCACGTAATTGCAAACAAAGGGGCGTTACGTCAATCAAATCTAATTAGACTCACCTGTCTCTGGTCTCCACGTTAAAACGTCCTCGTGAAAGGTGAGTTCAGGTGTCCATCGTGTCAGAGGAGCAGCACAGAGGTCGAGTCCAACATGCCAACCAAAAATGTCACAGACGAGCGGCTCGGAAAGTTCAAAAACAAAGGCAAAGATCCGGCAGTGAGTGTGTGTCCGGTCCAATCAGAGTCTGTCAAATATTTAATATAATAACTAATCCTGACTCTTCTTCTTGACTCGCTGCAGAAACTGAGAGAGAAAAGGATCTCTGAGTGCGTGGAGCTGCGGAAAGCTCATAAAAATGAGAGTTTCATGAAGAGGAGGAATGTGACGCTGTCGTCTCTCCCGGACGAGGAGGCCCTCTCCCCGGACTACTCCACCGACACGGTGCGTTTACGGACACTTTACCGATTCGGAACATGAACGTTTAGCTTCTAACGTCGTTTGTGTCGTTACAGGTGATGGTGTTCTCCATCGAGGACATCATTAAAGAGGTGAACAGCGACATTAAGGAGGCCCAGATCAGAGGCTGCCAGGCGGCCAGGTGAGTTTCCGTTGACGTTTTTGACTTTAGCATACAAAGAGAAGATTCATGATGTGAGCTTGATTATCTTGAAGGATCTTGTATCAAGCACATAACTTAATTTATTAAAGATATTATATTTACAAAGACCCAACATGAATACACGAGGAGCAGCTCCAAGTTACATTAAGCAAAGTAACGGTGGAGAGGGAAAACTGATGGACAGAAACCTGAATTAGAACCAGACTCATGTTGAACAGGCAGAAACCTGGATCAGAACCAGACTCGTGTTGAATAGGCAGAAACCTGGAGAAGAACCAGACTCCTGTTGGACAGACAGAAACCTGGAGCAGAACCAGACTCTTGTTGGACAGACAGAAGTGATGACTTATTGAAACCAATCTAGGCTGTAAACATTGGAGTAATAAATGGTTTACCTCGTCCCTCAGGAAGCTGCTGTCTCAGGAGCGTAACCCTCCTCTGAAGGCGATCATAGATGCCGGTCTGCTGTCCCGCTTCGTGTCCTTCCTGGTAATGGATGATGAGCCAACACTGCAGTTTGAAGCCGCCTGGGCTCTCACCAACATCGCCTCTGGAACATCCTGGCATACTCAGCAGGTAAGGAGACAGCAGCGTCTTTATGGAGGGAGTGTAAATTTAACACATGTCCGTGTTTGAGGCTTAAACACACCTGTGTTTTGTGTCTCAGGTGGTGGAAAGCGGGGCCGTGCCAGCCTTCATCTCCCTGCTGGCCTCACCGATGCTGCACATCAGTGAACAGGCTGTCTGGGCTCTGGGAAACATTGCAGGTAAAGTGCTGCTTTTTAAACATTGCTGTACATGTACAAACAACACAAGAGAAGGTCAACACTTTTTAATTTTGTATATTCAACCTGTCAACTGTTTATAGGTGCTTGTTTAAATTTCACATGTATATTTATCCCTGCACAGGGTATGTGTATTGTAATATATATATTATAGTCTACTTCTAATTGCACAGTTTAAGTTTGATTCCTCTAGGGGTATTCTTTAAATATTTTTTTTCAGGTTTGAAGGCTTTGTGATGTTTCACACTAAAATGTAATAGAAATCAATATCCTCTGAAAATAACTGTCATGACAGTCTACAATGGGTGTAACACCTGAGTCCAACTGTCTGCAATGCTTTCAGAGTCATATTTTCAGTTTGTTTATAGTGCCAGGACTACAGCTGACTCCTCCCCTCACAAATAAAAGTTGTTTAATTGAGGGACTTGAGAAAAGAAGCATAACATACTGTACTCACTGCGTTTCTAGATCACGCTCATTTTGGGAAAATTTACATGCAGTGTGAAGATACACGCATAATGACGATCATTAGCATTTGTCGCTCGAGACAAAGTGTTTCTTCTCTGCAGGTGATGGTGCAGCTTCTCGAGACATCCTGATCGAGTGTAGCGTCATCCCAGCCTTACTCGCTCGCATCGCCCCAGACACACCAGTAAGTCCTGCATGAAATGCTGAGGGATTTTAAATCGGTTTAGTTTGAGGTTCATTCAACTTGATACGGGGGGAGTCAGGTGGCCAGGCTTTCCTCTGTTGGGCCCTGAAGAGAGAACATTGTGCTGCCACACTGCAGGGACTGGCATGGGGGTCGGGTGCATTGTAAACCAACCCATGTGACCGCTTGGCATGATCTCATTTGTCAGGGTTAGTGACAACACAGTTAAAGTGAGCCAGGGTTTGTTGAATTGGCCTGAGGAGAAATGAAAGGCTGTATAAAACGGTCACATATGCCAAACACTCTTTGAGGTGTAAATCAGATTTCACCTGTTTCTTCTCAGCTGTTGTCTTGCTGCTGTATAGCTAAAAATGCTTTCTCACTCCAGGTCGGTTACCTGCGTAACCTCACATGGACACTATCCAACCTGTGTCGAAATAAGAACCCCTTTCCCCCCCTGTCTGCCATCATGCAGGTATGCTTCACTATAAATCAAGGATGAACTGTCTGAAGTATTTGAGCTTGAGGATGACATGAAGGCTGCAAAGAATCTGATGTGCTGTACCTTGTCCTTCAGGTGCTCCCCTCTCTGATCCAGCTGCTCCATTTCAGCGATAAAGACATCCTGTCCGATGCATGCTGGGCGATCTCCTACCTGTCGGACGGGGAGAACGAGCGTATCGATGTTGTGGTGCATACTGGCATCGTCCCTCGGCTGGTGGAGCTCATGGGTCACGATGAGCTCAGCGTCATGGTAATGTGTTGTAACATTACCACCACACACCTGTATTATCACATGTTGTCATGCACATTTAATACCTGGCCCACCTGCAGACGCCAGCTCTGAGGTCCATCGGGAACATTGTGAGCGGTTCAGACCTGCAGACTCAGGCGGCAGTCGATTCGGGTGTCTTGAATGTCCTACCTCAGCTGATGAGGCACCCGAAGGCCAGTGTGCAGAAGGAGGCGGCATGGGCGCTGTCCAACATCGCTGCAGGACCCTGTAAGCAAATCCAGCAGCTCATCACCTGCGGCCTCCTCCCTCCGCTGGTTGAACAGCTCACAAATGTGAGTAAACTCACCCACAAGGACTTTACTAATGCTCAGGAATTAAACATGTTTGAGCCTCTGAGTGAAACATAAATGAGCTGAAGGAATCTTTAAATAACTCCTGCAGCAATGTGCACCCTAGTCATGGCGGAGTTTTTACTGAAGAGACTGTAAAGGTTTCTAAGGAGAAAATTCCTTGTTGACCTCTGAACTTGACTATTTAAAATCTAAAAAGAGCTGCATAGTTTTCACTGCAGACTAAAAAGCTGCTTAATGGGAGTTTACTGAATCCTCTCAGGGAGACTTCAAGACTCAGAGGGAGGCAGTGTGGGCAGTAACAAACTTCACCAGCGGGGGCACTGTGGAGCAGGTGGTTCAACTGGTGCGGTGTGGAGCCCTGGAGGCCATCATCAACCTGCTGCAGGTCAAAGATGCTAAAGTAATCCTGGTCATACTGGATGCTATCAACAACATCTTCATGGTGAGAAGGGGTGAAAACAACCTCTGGATCTACTTGCTGACTCTTCGGGGTTATGTGGACAAATTACCTGACATTTCTGTTACTACACAAAACATTTCAGGCAGCAGAGAAGATTGGTGAGACGGACAAACTGAGCCTGCTGGTGGAGGAGCTGGGAGGACTGGACCGCATTGAGATGCTGCAGAACCATGACAACGAGATAGTGTACCAGGCCGCTCACGCCCTCATCGAGAAGTACTTCTGTGATGTGAGTAACAAAGTGTGGGACAATATGACATGTTTTCACTGCCTGGTGCATGAGCTGACTGCTTACTAAGATGACATTGTGCTCATCATACATCTGTTTGATACAGATATCAATATGGAAAAAGATAACTGATTGAACACTTTAGTGGTGCTTTGGGTAGAAGGGCTTGTTAAAGTCATGTTGTATTTGAAGTTATAATTTTATTTTTATTTTTTTATTAAAAGAGTGAAGTCGAGGAAGTGAAGGTTGACTCAACAGCTGATTCGTTTGTATTCAAGACTCCTGATGTTCAGACAACCTTTGAATTTTAAACTTGTGTGTCTTTAATTGTATAAATAATAAATAACTTTTCATACACTACTCTGCCTGATGCTTATTTCAACACCACCCATTAAAGGTTCAATCAGTGAGATGTGTAGTGACTGAAATGATAAAGTGACCTTACTATATGATCAGACATTAAGGAAACATGTTATGTTGAAGTGCTGGCTTCTCTGACAACAATGCAGCAGCCAGTATGTCCTCCTAACTTTAGATTCTGGTCCTGAATGCTCTGGATTTGTTTGGACCAGAGAAGGTAGGCGGTTTTAAGGCGACCCCCACACGGCCGTTTTGGATGCCCCTCGGTTTGTCAGATATGAGAGCAGTTATCAGGTCAAACCAACAGGTGTTGCAGTGATTGGAAACGAGCAAGAGAACTGGTTCAGATAGAAGTGATTGTACCCAACCTACTCAGCCTCTGCATGAAAGCTCTTTAATGTTTTGAATTTAGACTGCAGTACCCATTTTAAGCACTAGGTATCAAAGTAACATATTACTAAAGAAAAAAAGTACAGAATATTAAGAAACTCTACAAAAAGGTTGGGTACAATCACTTCTCTCTGAACCAGTTCTCTTGCCCGCTTCCGTCGCTGCAACACCTGTTGGGTTGACCTGACAACTGGTCCTTGTGATGGTCGTTTTATCATTTCATTCACTACTGCTGAGCCTTTGCACCTGCTGGCCACCATAGTGAGGATATGTTTGACTGGAATTAAACACAAAGGACTTCAGTTTTTTGCAGTGCAGTGATTTCTTTCAGTACTTTTGGAGGCTGTGATTTATGAAAAAAGTAAAGTTGAGACACTGGTCAAAGGGACTTCCAAAAGAAAACACTCTCTTTTGGTTTCAAACATATTTCACCAGTGTGGTCATTCTCAAACTTCTCAAAGTAGTGTTTCAGTTTTCACTTCCTATTTGGACTTCTACTCTGACCTCACTTCTCAATTGCCAAGTTAAAAATAATTTAAGCTTAACTCAAAGCTATTACACAAACTCATTGCTTCTTCCAGAAATAAATCTGAGGTAGATATTAAAACTTAATGTACCTTTCTAAACTAAAGGCCAGCGCTGCAGAAGAAAACATTCCTCCAGCCGACAGCTTTCGTCTCTAACTGTGAATCCACTCTTCGTTCATCCCTACTAAAATTAAGATTTGCACTTCTCTATTCAGATTTGAGATCTGACATTTCTCTCTCTACTTCACGGAGCTGAAGGGGATTCAGTTTGTTATGGTCGAAAACCTGAAGTCAGATTTCAAACCCAAAGAACGACCTCACAAAGAAACATTTCACTCTTCACCCTTAGACAACAATCAACAGTTTTTAAGGGAGGGATATGGTATTTTCTCAGACAGATATGTAAAACCTGGACATGTAGGGTAAGGGTGAATATCAGTTTACGAGAAAATACTTTTTATGAAATGTCGGACAACCTAACATTTTTCTAATCTTGAAGTTGCACCTTTTTGGAATTTATGATGGAGTGGATAAATTAGTGTTGCTGGCTACCTTCAAATAATATTGGAAAATCCGTGGAAACTACGAGGGTGGGGTTTGATGGACAGGCTGGTGCTTTATTCTCTTTACAGCCTGACCCCACCCTGACTCTGAACAACCCCACACCAGCTCTGAAATAAAAGGATGATCGACAACCTACAGACCAAAGAGTGGACAGTTTGGGATAGTCTGAGCAACTGCTGCATCGTCAACCTGGTAAGATTGATTATTAAACTGCAGGTTTTATTCTGTAAGAGGAACAAAACTGACCTTTTAACCTTCTTTTTAGGTCCCTTTAATCATGCTGAAGGACAGTATGTTGGTGTTAATCTTCCTCTGTGTCACGATGATCCCTCTGAATGCAGAGAAGGTAAGAAAGAAAACACAGATTTACACTTGAAGGTTTGTTGTAATGAGACAAACTGCTCAGCCAGTGGAGATGTAACTCTGACACCTAGTTTTTAAAATGGGTACTGCAGTCCAAATTCTAAACATTGTAGAGAGCTGTCTCCCCCCCCCCCCAGAGTCAATGCTCACACAGGTTGCCATGTGGTGGACACTGAAGCTTCAGTGTTTAGCCAGCTCTGCATCGGTCTGTAAACCTTTCTGTGTTCTAACCTCTCTCCATTTTTCAAAAGCATCTCCAATATTGATCCTAGTTTGAGCACGTTTCTGCTCGTGGAGCTTATTAGAAACATGCAGAGGCTTTTTAGGTTGAGTACAATCACTTCTATCTGAACCAGTTCTCTTGCCCGCTTCCATCGCTGCAACACCTGTTGGTTTGACCTGATAACTGCTCTCATATCTGACAAACGGAAGGGCGTCCAAAACGGCCGTGTGGGGGTGTCTTAAAACCGCCTACCTTCTCTGGTCCAAACAAATCCAGAGCATTCAGGACCAGAATCTAAAGTTAGAAGGAGGACATACTGGCTGCTGCATTGTTCTTCTCTGATGGTCTCATTTACGGTCCTAGCTATAGCTAGTATAGAACTCAGTTTTTGTCATAACTAGCTAAAACAAAAACGACAAGAGCCTTAAAATTCATTTGATGTTAGCGTAAATCTCAGTGAATTGACATGTTGACATGTCTTCTCCACAGGAGGCTGCATTAAACCCAACCTCAGCACCTGAATATCCTGAAGGGGGGGTCCAGAATATTTCTGTCCAGGCTGCCAAACAGAAATCCACCAACACTGCCCTGAAGGCCTCAGGTGTCCCAGTGCAGGTCCAGTCAGGTCTGTCTCGGCTCATCAAGATCCCTCTGAGCTTGTTTCCTGACTCTGTAGACGACATGTACCACGGCTGCTCCCACAAGATGCTGATCAAAGTGAAGCGTCGCTACCTCCCGCAGAGCACCAGAGAGGGCTTGCACTCCACCTACACCAAACTCTGTGCCCTGAAAGCCATGAAGGAGAAGGACCCGTACGACCCGCTGTCCTGGAATCACTTCAGGGCCCTTTGTGCCTACACAGCCGGGTCATATGACGACTTAAACCGAGCAGTCCGCCAAGGGAGGGCTTCCTACAAGACCTCGTTTGAATTCCATGCCCTCCACTTCCTGCTTTCAGACGCTATTCGGCTCCTAAAACTCAACCAGAGAAATTGCTACACAAGCTACCGGAGAAGCAGACTGCTCTTCAGCGGCGAGTCTGGACAGACGATCCGCTTCGGATCATTCGCCTCCAGCTCCCTGAACAAGGACCTGCGGCAGTTTGGCCGTAGGACCTGCTTTGAGATCCACACGTGTTTTGGCGCCTACCTCAAGTCGTACTCGGAGTTCGACTCGGACGAGGATGAGGTGCTGATTCCTCCGTACGAGATGTTCAAAATCGTGTCCATGGATACGTCAGGAGAGGACGATTTAAAGTGTGATGTCGTGTTCAAGCTGGAGACTGCTGGAGTTTACAGCAGTCTCAACTGTCAGGCTGCGGGCCTGCTTTAAAAAGTCACGATTTAAAAGTGTACACGGTCGTTTGAATGTTTATTATTTAAATATATGACATTTATAGCAGTGAAGAGAGACTTTCTCTACATTTAAGTATCTAAAATCTATTACACTCCTGGATTAAAGGCAGGGTTGGTAATTCTCCTCCAGATCCACTTTTTAAGATTTTGGTTGAAATTGTCTTTAGGTCCTGACAGACATTAATAACTCATGTTCTCTGAAAAAGGAAAAAATAAAATCCGTCATCTGCATCAGTTTTAAGTCTGTAAAAACTTCGACCAATGTCTGCCACGAGGTACCAATCTGATGAACCAATCACATGCCTCCCTGTCTCCCTGCTCGCTCTCTACCTCTTGCGTGCTGTAGCTCACACTCAAAGCGCTTTAGGAGTTTATACTGTGAGTTTACTTACCGCTGAATGAGACATGAGACGACGTAGTTTCTACACAATGCAAGAGATGAGCTGAGGTCCACTTCTGGAGAGACGCCGCTCGTTCATGTGAGTGAGGGGCGTGGCTTATGAGGGAGCACAGAGGGGAGGGGGCGGGTGCAGACGGGGCACTGAGGGAATGCTACTTTCAAAATCATGCTAGTTTTAGAAAATTATCAACCCTGCCTTTAATCAGCCTCGTTTCCATGCTGTGCGGTTCAGTTCTGTAAGGTATGCCTTTAGTTCTGTGTCTTGGTGTCATTATTGGAGAAATAGAGTCGGAGAGTGCAGAATGATATGCGACACAGGTCAGATTCAAACCGGGCCGCCCGCTTCGAGGAGGGGCAGGTAGGGGAGAGACACGGGTATTTATTTATTCCCTCATGGATGTAAAGATCACTGAGTTTTGTAGATTTGTGGTTTTAGTTTGGGCTGGAAATTCCCCGTAGTCCTCGTGTTCAGTCTTTTGTTTTCTCTGAGCCCTTTTTTATGTCTTATTATCTTGTATTCATCATTGCTGGAGTCTCTAGCCCCTTTTTGGTTCCATTATTTAATTCTATCTTTTTTTGCACAATGCTTGGGTTGTTATCCTTCACAATAAAGCGTCTTGAGCAGATTATTTAAACTCTTGTGTGGCGTCTCTTCTTCCAAAGTTTCCATCCTCATTGAGGACATAACTGTGACTTTGAGCCTTTCACACATGCAATTAATCACGTTTCAAAATGTGAATCCTTAAAACAACTTTTTAGCCTGCACAGATAAACATCCTGACACACGAGCGAGCACGCTGGTAGACTAAACTAAACGATCCTCTGATGTCATCCAGCGAACTTCAAAACATAACAGTAATATCTGTTAATTTTCTTTCCATAAATATAAACGTATAAGCAGGAAATTAAAGCAACACCCAGAAACTTTAGTAGAAAAACCTTTCTGCTCTTTAATTCAGTTCATTTAAACATGTTGAATGTCACTGCAGTCATCAGAGATCAAACCCACAGCACCAGACGTCATTTAAACCAGACGCTGCTTTTACTCTGAAATGATGATTTGAGTGTTTGTGAGGGAACAATCGAACCGTAACAAACGTTGGTGAATCTAACAGGAAGCTCTGCGCATGAATGAGACAGGACTGCTTCTCCCTGCTGTTGAGTTTAGTAACAGTGAGCATCAGTGACAAAATCAGCTTGTATCTATCGTTTCCTATCGGAGTGTCCTAACAGCCCATCGCCCCATTTCTATTCTCCTCTCTGTCGCTCACAAAGTCATGGAAGAGGGAGGAGGAAGGAGGTGGCTCTACAAGGCTCTGACACTCTCTCTCCTCCCTCAGCAGAGCTCGTTAACTTGTTTTACAAAGTGGAGATAACGGTGCATTAATAATATCCACATCATGATTGAAATGTTGACCTTTGACCTGTGTCAACGCCGGAGAAAAACTTTATCTGGTTCACAGCGAGACGCTTACTGAGGAGACTCTGAGGGCTGAGAACAGCTAGTCAACACAAAGCACTACAATTCAATTTGTACACCTTCACAATAAAAGCACCACACTTAATTTTGTCCACCTCTGGGAAACTTAAATTCACAGCACAGACAATTTATTATTTAACGGATGCAGTGTGGACAGCGAGCAGGGGAGTGTGTGATTGTGCGCAATGCAACAGGGTCTCCAATGCTTGTGTGCTGTCAGGACACGGTTTAAGAACACAGACGTGTTCTTAAACCGTGACAGACGTGACACCCCACATGATGACAGGGAGCACGTTCTGCTGCAGGTGGACGTTTGGATTAGAACTCGTTTCTAAGACATTGAAAGGGACCCTTCTCTCAAACTGCACTTCACATTCTGTAAAGCATTGGTTTTGTCATTCTGCTCGTGTCTGATATGGTCGTTATGTCTTTATACAAGACGGTATTTTCAAGTTTCATCATTGTGTCTTCCCTGGTTTGTTCAGTGTGAGAGGAAATCTATTTACAACAACAGGAAGTGTTGCAACAGGCAGCGGACCAGAAAGGCAATATGCAGCATTAATGCTATAAATAGATTTACATGAGGTCAACAAACGGCTGCTGCGGAGCCAGCGGAAGCACAAACACTGAATAAAGAAATCAAAACGCATCAGCTCTGCTGCTGAAACGGAGCGGAGACAGACTGAACACGCGTCTGGTGGAATCCAGGGGTAAGGGAGAACATGTCACAAGAGTTATTTTGGCCCCTTGTGTGTGACAGAGAGCTCCATTAACGAGCCGGAGAAACAAATACTGAAGCTGCAAAAAGACTGAGGTTTTCTTAAAGTTGTAAGCAGCTGCTCCTCTCAGGCTGAACCCGTAGCAGTCAGAATGTGTGAGTGTGTGTGTCTACATCTTCTCGTAGGTGAGTTCATGTCCGCAGGTGGTGCAGGTTTTCTTGTACAGGTCCTCCTCCGGGTCCACCACCTCCTCTGCTCCGTACTGATGCTGGTGAACGCTGGTGTCTTTGGTCCACATGCTGCTCCGCACTGCCCTGCGCAGCTCTGACGCACACACACATGCATGAATTATTGGTATGGATTTAACTCCCACATCTGAATGTTGACGAATAAGGTTTGATGTTATCACCGACCTTTGACCTTCTTGTTGAAGCGTTTTTGTTTTTGCACCTCTTTGTTCTCCTCCCTTGTCTCTCTGGCCTCCTCCAGAGCCTCCTCTGAACCCCACACCTCCATACATCTCTTCTCCACCTGCGTACCCAAAGAAACACACCTACAATGTAGTACTGACTCTTTTTGTCGACAAATACTTTAACATTTAATGGATACATCTACAAGAGGAACTGTCAAAAACAGATAAAGGCTGCAAAAGCTCAAATCATCAGAGAAGACAAACAAATGATAACCAATCATATAGAGGCAACCTTTTCTCCTTAGTAGTTTCTCTACATGTGTTTTCCACAATAAAGCCTTGTTCACACCTGCACAAACATCATTCAAAACTCCTGAGGTTTGCAGGAGGAGCTGCATGTGTCCCTTCTTAAGACACACTTTTTCCGGCGAACCTTTCCTGATTTTTGTTGATTTTAAATTGTTACTATTTTCACTTTTTAGAATTCCTTTAAAAGAATGTATTTTACAGCTCTTTTAAAATGGATTTTATATCTTAAAGTGATATTTATTCCTTAATCTTGCCTTGTTTATTATTCTATGACCTGCCTGTTTTTATATTTGCTGTCCATGTAAAGCACTTTGTAACTTGTTTTTGAAAAGTGCTCTATAAATAAAGATTATTATTATTATTATTATGTGTGAACACAAACAGCTGAATGTTTCTCTCTGAAATTCTCCGGAGTTTCTCCTCCTGCCTCTGACACACACACACACACACACAGGTTTTCATAGCTCCTGTCCTCCAGCTGTCTGTACCTGTACTTTGAGGTAGAGCTTCATGTCTCCCCAGCGCGGGTTGTGAGGGTTTTTCTTCAGTATGAACCTGAGGGGGGGCTCTCTCTTGTCCAGGTCACAGTCCTTCAGCAGGTAGTGCGCCTTGGCCTCAGTTCTGGAGACCAGCTTGTGTTTCTCCTCGTTATCCCTGAAGCAAAAACAGACCTACGCCTTTAAGCCGTAACATTCATTAACAGTCATTTAATTTAAAAACACTGTATTTACGGGGCCTCAAAGAAGGAACATTTTGATAAGAATGATGTGAATCTGGAAATCCTTTAGGATCACATCATCACTCTTACTTTTTAAAGATGTATTTTCGGGCTTTTATGCTTTTATTTCGATAACGGATATAATAGAAAACCAGGGAGAGAGAATGTGAAGTTGGCCAATCAGAATCAAGTATTTCACAAAGCCAGAAATATATAATAATATGATTAATAACTACAGGGTCACATGGATGGAGTGTGACCAGACCTCAACATGACTTCTACCGTGGTGTATGTGTTGGTGGTGTGTGTGTGTGTGTGTGTGTGTGTGTGTGTGTGTGTGTGTGTGTGTGTGTGTGTGTGTGTACCTGCACTTGTCACAGACACTCAGGTCAAAGCTGTTGCTCAGATATGAGTCCATGAAGGGTTTTTCACATTCATCACAAACCAGGTAGTCTGGCTCAATCACTGGAGCTGGAAAGAAAACACACACACACACACACAAACGTGAACACACATGTCAGTCGGGTAACATACACACACACACAGCCTACACACACTCACCTGGCTGATGCACCACCTTTCTGGTCCTCTGCTCCTCCAGAGCTTCCTCCTCCTCGTCGATGAAGAAGCCGGCGCCGGAGTCGATGGTCTTGGACACTTTGGCCGAGGTTGCTCCCTCCACGGCGGACAAAGAGCGGCTCGCTAGTCTCGCCTGCCGGAGCATCAACGCTTGCTGCCGGTTTCTCTCGATCTTAGCCCGCATCGCTGCAGACAGCTCGGGTTTGGGACTCTGTTCTAGGCCGGGACCGGGAGCATCCAGCTCCCCTGACTCTGACGGCTCCATGGTACCGTCTCACACAGACATCAGCTCATAACCAAAGATGCAATCTGTGTTTGCTCCATACAAAGTGCAGCGGTAGTCTGTTGTTACAAAACTGACAAAGCTGCATGCTTCCGGCTTCTTCTTCTTTGGTTTAAGCTGGCAAGACGCATCGACGGCGCACTGCTGCCTTCTACTGTTCGGTGTCCCTATCTTTGACACTTACATGTTTTTAGACCCTCAGTCTGCAGATACTCCAGTAGTCTCTTCATTTGAGTCCAGTTATGCAGGTTTAATAAAGAG